TCAACTTGATCCTGCTGCCTCTACCTCCCAAGTAGCTGAGATTACAAGAGTGCACCTTCATGCCCAGACTAGACTTCTGTATTCTAATTCCAGCTCCCTTAATTGTTAGCCATGTGATTTGATGCATGTTATGTAATATCTTTGGTCTTCATTTTCCTTTTTTATGACATGACATAATTAAAACTAGTTGCAAGATTAATGTAAGTATTACATTAGATAACGTTTGCAATACCTGGGATTACATAGTTGACACTCAACACATTACAATTATTATGTATATATACATATACATATCTATGTAGTTAAATAGTAATAGTGATGAAATTCATACTATTATTACTTTATGCCTGATATTGTGCTAAAGGACTGACTTTTATAGCATCTCAGTTCTTGTCTATAATGCCCTCCATTCACAAGAGCCTCTTGTCCTCATCCTCATTTTACAGAGGCTGAAATTTGAGATCACAAAGCCCCGCTAATACTAATAAATGGGAGGGAAGGAGAGAGAGAGAGAGAGAGAGAGAGAGAGAGATTGAGATTGAGAGTTTGTATGAAAGAAGTGAGAGAAGGCCAAAGAGGAAACAAAGGTAAAGTAAGGACTCTCACTCAAACTGGATGGTCCTTTATTCCTGGCCTATGATGCTGTTGATGGTTGTAATGTATTTGGTTTAAGGACTTTGTAAATACGTTTTCACTATGTACTTGTAGACAGATTTAATTCCTCGTTGATATTTAGGTGTTGGTTACTCTGTCTTTCCAGGAAACACTTAAGAAATACAGTCACCTCTACGATCTGTCCCGATCTGAAAAGGGGAAACTCCGTGATCAAGCTGTGGCCATGTGTTTAGATGGTCAGCCTCTAAGTATGATTCAACAGCTGCTAGAGGTGGCTGTCGGTCCTCTTGATATCTCACCCAAGGATGTAGTACAGAGTGCAGTCATGAAAATAATTTCAGCATTGAGGTAAGCTTTTGTGAAGTAGCCATTGAGGAAAACCTGCAGAGTAGTTTGTCAGTATTAGGGCCTGCTTCATGGCTGTTGTGAAGGTACACTGTCATCATGTGTGTAGAAGTACATTTCATTTCCAAGTACTTCACAAAGGTAGAAGATTGCTTTTGCAGTTCTCAAAGTCTTGAGACTGAAGAACCATGAAAATGTTTACTCACTGGTATCTTGTGTAACATGTTAAGTAGCTAACTAAGTTGATGTTGAACTTCCTCCCCTCCTCACGTTATTCTTGAAGCTAGAGAAGGCCAAGCATGTAAAGTAGGAGCTAAGAGCCAAGCTGCCCTGTCTTCAGTGTGGTCAGTCAGGTCTCGCCTTTTCAAATTTCCCTCTGAGGCAGTGGGGAAGATGGTTCCCAAAGGTTCTTTTGAAGTTCACAAGGCAAGGTTGAGCATACACTGAGGAAGGTAAACTAAGTGTCTTAGGACATTATTTACCAATGGTTGTAAACTTGACAACAGAAATTCTCACTTGATGTGCGGGTGCCTTTGCAGGACTGCCTCCGAGAGGATTAGAGTGGAGGGCAAAGGGAAGGGCTCAGAAAATAAGGATGCATCAAGTGCTCTGTGAATAATGCAATTAGGCCAAAAGATTTAGTTGTATCTAATTTATTCTCCTTTTAAGGATTCTTTGTAATTCTGTATTGCTCTTGAGGAACTTTTTGATTAAATGCATGTCAGTTTTCTGCAGCTAAACTGAAATCAAATGAGCCTTTATCAGTTTAATTACCCTAGCTGCATACAGTTTTCACCTTAATGCTCTGAGGTACCTGGTAATTTTATATATAGGGACAGACCTAAAATATAATAGCATTTTTAAAGAGATAGCAAACTTCAAATTAATAAAGTTTTGTTCTATTTTTACTTTATTATGACTTTTTGTTGGTTATAAGAGTCACTCTTTTAAATGATGAGATTTGTTTGCCACATGTAACTATACACCTTTTGGATTATAGTTATATTTTATTGCCACTTTGAATCTTACATGAAGCTCACAAAAATAAATATTTTGAAAAATTATTGTTTTAATGAATTTAGTTTATTTCCTAAAGTTGCACATTTTCATTAATAATTAAAATATGTGTAGGGTTTTTTACATTTTTGACATAAGTTATGCTTCTTTTTCCTTTCCTCCACCAGTTCTTCTATTAAGAGATTTGGTTCCAGTCTATTAAATGGTACCCTAGCACACAGAAGATATTTGATGAACTTGAGTTAAATCTTTCAGCAAAGATTTAATGTCAAAGACAATGACATCATTATTGACAATGTCCACATTTACCTTTTCAGAAGTTAGTAAAATTGGATAAGCACAAAATGATAAAGTCATGAAAATAACTGAATTCGTGAGTTGATTTAAATAATTAAATTATTTTGAGTGCTCATGTAAAACTTCTTTTTCTCCTGTTGAATTTTCAGAATTTGCTAGCATTCCAGACAGACATATTGTAGGATGAGCATAATAATAGTAGTTGTTTCATTCACTGTGGGGATGGTTAAATGGCAGAACAGATATAAGGCTCTTAGCAGTATCTTATTCCTTCTAACTAGTAAGTAAATCTTGGTTTTTCTTTAACAAAGTTCAACTGAAGGATTTAGATTATTATTAGATATTTAATGCTTAAAATGTTTTAATGTTCAATGAATGTTCTTTTTATGATATGAGTAGATCACGTTCCTCTCATAGGAAAACATGGACATGTTAGCCCCTGGCTCCTTAGGGCTAAAAATATTCCATTTCCATATTCCTAGCACCTAGTGTTAGGCTTGGTAGATTTGTAGACACACAGCCCAAATGGCTATGGACATGCAGAGCACTGACACAGTCCAGCTGGGTTCATCTGAGTGAGTAAATCTGAAGCATATTTCTGATGATTGAGTGACCCTCTTCTGACTCAGTTCTCTCTTTTTTTCACAGTGGTAGCAGTGTTGACCTCAGTGAGCCAAGGGACCCCCTCCAGGTTCTGGAACGTGTTGTAGCAGCCATCCGTGCCAGCATGGACAAAGGGTAAGATTAGGACAGTTTATGAGTCTCCACTGAATGACTTTCCTCAGTGTCTAGGACTGCTCTTAGTATCTGTAGTTATGAGTCTTCCAAGACTTGCTTTCCAGAAGCAGCTTTGGAAAGCAGGAGCTGAGGTCCTTCGGCATGGCCGAGGAGTGGCTCTGCAGCTGGCCGTCTGGATCCTATGCTCTGTGCTGGCCTGTCAGCTCCAGCAGGACCTGCTTGCCCTGGAGAACATCTCTGCCTCTCCAAAGGAGGCTGAAAGAGGGGCTGCTTTGAGCTTCTTGGAAGAGAAGGGATGTTCATCGGCAGCAGGTTAACTAAATTAAGTATGGAAATTCGAGAGTTTACTTACTACAGTATTTTAAAAAAATCTTTATAGGTTAAGTCCGCCTTATTTGAGGATTCAGTATGCGGCTTTAACAATTAGAAAAGTTTCTATCTCTTGCCAGTTTTTCATTGAAGCACAGTGGTCATAATGAGTAATAGCAACTAACAACTAATGGCTATGCACTTCCTCAGAGTTTACGACAGTCTTTTGTCTGTCTGAAATCCGTGCCAACTCTGGCCTCTTCCCAATTTCTTTTTTTAACTGAAAATATGATATAATAATAATAATGAAGACATGTTTTAGGAACTCCCCCCCTATAGTTCCATTTAGTTGAGTAACAAAATTATTTCTATTTGCACATTACTTTCCAGTTATTAAGGTACAGATACATTTTACATAGTTACCATTGAAATGTATGCACTTTTATATCTTACTTTATTTACTTTCTGTTATAACACTTCCTGCTTATCTTTGTAGGTTTAATGCTTATGGTGATTATTATGACCGCATATGCTGCTGCTATTTTCAGAAAAGGACCTAAAAGCTCAGAAAGAGTAACCGATTTCCCCAGTGTCACAAACCTGGGATATTAAACCAGGATTCTAGGCTGGTTTCAAATCCTAATATGCAGATACCTGTATAGTGTATTTTCATGCGTTTCCTTTTGCCCGAGGTTTGAGAGAAAGAATCTAGGATAGGCTGTGTCAATGGATGTGGGAAAACATTGAAAGCAGGACCTTTGGTTTCCTCTGCCTCTCTTCTGCTTGAACCCCTTTGCTTGGGAATCTTCAGATAGGAACATAGCTGTAGCAGTGACTGATGAGATATTATGCCAAAGTGATATGTAATTATTCTGTGTGCTCCTTGAGTGCCATGCTCTTTGTTAAGTCACAAGGAATCATATATGGATATAAAACAACTCCTAACCCCATGGAGCTCTCAGTTTTATAGGGAGTCAAGCTTGCTTGTAGCCATAGTGACTGTACTGTAGAGTATGAAGTGCTGTACAGAAAGCAGGGTAAAAGGAAGGGTTCATGTTTCTGAGAAAGTCAGGGCAGGAAACACAGGGGTGACCAGGGCCTGGTCTCTGAAATGAGAGTCTTAGGAATAGGGTGATGGTATTACAGAATTTTTTTTTTTTTTGGCATACAAATGTTCATAGCAGAAAGTTGAAACAACCCAAATGCCTATCAAACAATAAGTGAATAAATTAAATGTACCTAACAATGACAAAGCATTATTCAACAATAAAATAATGAAATAATGAGAAATACTCTGACATAAATGATCCCTAAAAACATTATGCTAAAGGAAAAAAAATCTAGTCACAAAAGATCACATATTGTATGATCTCACTTAGATGGGATTCCAGAATAAGCAAATTTATAGAAAAAGAAAATAATTGCCTAGGAACTTGAAGATGGGGGTAAAAGAAGAATGACTGCTAATAGGTATGGAACTCTCCTGGTATTCCAGGCTTTGAAACTGCCTGGGCCACTACAAATGCAGCAACTAGCAGCAAAGCAGGTAGAGATACTGCCTGGGATGCACTTAACCTCCTCCTGGAGGTTACATCTAGACACTGCCATTCCAATCCCAGCATGTGTGTCAGTTCTCAGCTCCCAGCACCCCAGTGAGCAAGCCGTGTCATAGCACATCTCTCAGGAGAGGCTGGCTGGATCCTGGCTGCTCAAGACAAACAGAGCTAGTGAGTACTACTGTAGGCCCCTTCTAGTGGGTCCCTTAGGATTGTCCCAGTTGGCCCATCTCAAGATTAGAAGGCAGTATTTTCCATCATGAATGTCTAGCGAGATATACCAAAGAATCCAACTTGGTTCTTTTGAATACAGACTATTTTTAAGCTTTCAAGAAAACATTAAGGAGTGGAGAAGCAGAGCAAGAGCTTCTTTTTTATCCCAGAAACAGAATAATAAAGGTTTCTTTTTAAAAAGCTCGGTGAATTTTTTTCCTTTATAAAGGAAAAAGGAGGAAGGCAAAAATCATAACTTTTATTCCCAGAAAATATGTTCTGAGTCAGCACAGTTCAAAGTGATAGCCTGTTGCTTAGATTTCCTTTCCCAGTAATTTGCCTGGCAGAATCACATGGACGAATCATTTTCTGTTTTCTGGGTAATTCCAAGAAAGGTTTTTGGAGTTACATGGGGGTTTCAGTACCTAAAAGCAGTGCTCTCAGGTCACTCATTATTTGGCCTGACTCAACTGCCTAATTTCTAAGAGGCCCCACAGAGTGCCCCTGCCCTCACTTTAGTTAACAGGCCTAGCCTACTTCAGTTCTAACCATATACTTGACACCTACCTCTGTAGGGTCTGTTTTGATAGTAAATGACCTCTGCTCCAGCACACATATACTCTCCCCCTCCCCCTCCCCGTCCCTCTCCCCCTGCCCCTCCCTCTCTCCCTCTCCCTCGCCCTCTCCCCCTCCCTCTCCCTCTCCCTCTTATGCTCTTGGGTTATGTATATACCATCCCGTAGTATTCCTTGCAGGGAAACTGCAGACAAGAGTAAGAATTTGAGTGTGTGTGAATGACTGCCACCAAGCATTTGGTTTGTTGGCTAGTTCTGAGACAGATCATACCATCATTGGCATATCCTCTTGACTTTTTATGTTGGAACAGATGTCACTTGCTTTGTAACTGCTTCTGCCTTATCCAGAAAACCCACTTCCCTCTTCTTTTTTTCTGTGCAAACTATAAATCACATAAAGTCATATCTCTCAGACAAGCCACCAGTGATGCATTCAGCCACCTGTCCAGCTAGATAGATGGCTATCTTTTTCACTTTACCCATATTGCTGCCTCTAGACATCAGAGTTAAGTATTCCAAAAGCTTGAAATCAGACCCCAACCCTTTTATAATACCTGCAGTTGAAGGTAGGATAAGATAATTAATTCCTCACAGGTTCATGCATTTTAAATTTGCTGTATAAGTATATAAGATTTCCTCCATTACTGATGTGTTCTGCAGCTTTATTTTTGAGAATATTGTCTAACTTTCTAGTTGTAAGAATTATTTTATTAGCTTACTTAAGAAAAGTAGGTGTTGAAAAATTCAATAGCTAAAATGATAGTGTTCTGAAATAATATATCTATTAAACCTGGAATTAATGGAAAATACAGCTATAATTTATTTCTAAGAAGTACACCCCCCCCCTTTCCATGAACCTATTACTCTATGCCAAGACCAAAACCTTGGAAAGGTGCTGTTCAGTAGCTAACTTGGTCCTTAGAACAACTCTGTCATATAGACATCATTACCTCCATTTTACCAATTAGGAAATGAAGTTGATTGAGGTTATATAACTTGTGCAAGGTCACCCAGTAGGGATCTCTACCTTGTCATCTCCTTCTTACATTACAGAGCCAGCACTGATTGAGTAAGTCTGGGTTGGACCTGAAACTCCAGCTTCCAGGGGATACCTGGACCAGGGACTGAACTTGGAGCTGCAAGGTCTTAAGGCATTACTCCCCTCAGCTTCTTTATCTGTTTTCCTGGCTTTTCTCTGCCTTTGCCTTATTTTTTTTTCTACTTGCTGTCTTCATATATCTTTAAAATTTTCCCAAAAAAAAGATCCACATGTGTGAACCACTCTATTAGTAGCTTTCAAAAGGATATATAGAATTCAGTCCACTCAGATGATAACAGGTAATTAATGAAGATTTCTTCTGTGCACTATTCAACAACAAAGAAAAATTTTCTTCAAAAGTATTGACTATTTGGGGGGTATTTCTTTAAGTAGATAATTGATCATAATATCAGATACAGTGTCTTAAGGCTTCATGTATATATTGATCAATGTCAGATAATTCAGACTTTATTGAACTCTTTGATATTACCTGGGATTTCACATTATTACATTATTTTTAAAGAACAGGAAAGACAAAAAGAAAGAAAGAAAGAGTGAAAGGCCCACTAGAGTAAATTCAACCAGATTTATTGTTGCTCTGAGGCAAAGCAAATCATCCCATTTTCTATGCACCAGGGTCTGTAATACTGAGCGTTTCTGAAAACCATGGCCACAAGACAGGTTGGTGGAGCCATTCCACCACTGCTTCTGGGATCACTTTGGGCCACATTCATGACTATCCAGCAGCAGCTCTGCCTTGTCACAGAGAGGTGCTTCACTGGCAAGTGAAGCTAAGGAAGGTGTTAGACTGGCACACATTGGAGAGCAGACACATTACCAAAAGCCAGGGTTTGATGTTGGAATAATGACTGCCGAAAGAATTTCCCTTCTAGAGACTTTTCTTTTGATATAATATGATTATGATTTTTAAGTTATATTTTTTATATTACTGCAATGCCATTTATACAGTATACATTCACTTATTTGCAAATCTCTTTTATTCCTTGCCAGTTGCCCCTAATTTTTTTATGGTAGCTGATAAATAAAGACATTCCCCTAGGAAATGTCTGCCCACTCAGCTTCTTGTATAATGGGAGAAGGATTCATAGGAGTGGATTCATGCATTAATGAGGCAAGGTACCTATACTAAATATATTAGTATTATGTCACAATCCTGTTAGCTCACTTACATTTACTTGCTCTTCCCTCCCTGTCTGTCCCTCTCCCTCCCTGGCATCATACAGATCCCAGCTTGCAAACTCCCTCCTACTGAGATGCCAGGCAGGTGGTAGAAACAGGTGGGATCTGAGGTGATCTGGAAAGCTCCACAGGGGAGGTAGTTGCTGTCTTGACCCCAGCCTGTTGTTGCCATGGTATTGGGGTCATTCTGTTTTTAAAGAGCTGCAAAATCCTAATTCTGTGTGTGTGTACATGAAATTTAACTTTGAAACGTTGGGTTTTACTGTGGCAAGCCAATTCTAAAATTTGGTTGTCAGTTTCCCTTCAGTGTGAAAGACTAGACAAAGTGACCTTATGTTCCCTTCAAGCATTCATATTCTGTGACACATTTATAAGAAATCTCAAAGTTCTCTGCTTTCAGGCTTGAATCAAGTCATTTCTTCCCTCATTCTCAAATAAGAATAGTGGTTTTACTTTGATTATTGTATCATAAAACGCTTTCGTACTTATTATCTCTTTTAATATACCTTAGCTATTTAAATTGAAATTTGGGTTGTCTTTCTATGTATATGCCATGCAGAATCTGTAAATTTTTTACCAAGGATTACCTGATTTATATTCTTAAAATAAGTCTTTTTGCTTTGATTCGATAATTACCTGTGTTTGGTTGATATTCCCTTCCATTCCTTTATACTTTTGTGAATGTCCTCCCATGCTGCAGGGTGTGGTAGAGAAAGGTAGATGAACACTGCACCCTACCCCAAGTAACACACCTTCAGAGTATAGTGTTTATGTCATCATTGTTGCTGCTGCTGTTCTTTTCTGTTAACACAGTGACTTATATAGTCACTTATCTTTTGGACCAAATCTAACTATGTAAGTGTATCTTCTTCCCATATTAGTTAATTTTTTAAAAATAATATACTAAATTGCTCTTTACATTATAACACCTATTCCCATTGTCAGTTTAGGGGAAATCGTGGAAATAATTGCCTGTGTGCGTATTTTTTTTATTGTTGTGTTGGGGGTACATTGTGGCACTTACAAAAGTTCTTAGAATGTATCAAATGCATCATACTTGAATGAAATTAGATTTCTCCTTTTACCTATTTAATGACTCTTATTAATCATTTATGTAATTTTTATAATGAAATAAATGTGTTTTGAAATGATGCTTTCTTTTTATTCCTTGCCTTTATCAAACTAAAAAAATGGAATCACTTCCCTTCTTCCCATCCTGGATTTTTTGTATTATGAAAGCCATAACAGTTATTTTCCACTCACTTGTTTATCTTGAAAAATTTCAAACCCACAGAAAAATTGTAAGGTTTTAAAAAGTACCTATATCCTCCTCCCTTTGTTTTCCTAGTCATTAGCATTTTACTATGAGTCTCAGTCCCTCCCTCTCTCTTCCTCCTTCTCTCTCTTCTCTCTCCACTCCATTTCTCTCTCTTTTTCTGTTTGCATGTATATACTTGCTTGGTCACAAGAATAACTTTGAATTTTAAAACGTCAAGCCAAAATCAAAATGTAAACTATATTGCAGCCAAGTCTTCAGGAGATTGTGTGTGGTCCATGCCCTTAACAATTGTCAAGGGCATGTATAGTGTTCTAAACTCTGATGTTCAGGTGGCTATCCAGTGAAACCCATCTAGGACCTGGTGCTTCTGGAACACCATGCTTTTATTTAAAGACTAAGTTCCACAATTTTATTATGTATTTGAAATCTCAACTAAAAATTAGAACATGTCCCTCCAAATGTCAAATGTTATACTGTACAATAAGCTCTATGAATAAAAGGAGTCTAAATCAATAATAACTTGGAAAATATTATAATAATCTTTTCATATCTCATCAGTAACTGAATAATTTTAACCTACTGCTGACATGTTCTGGGATGTGCCCCAGTTTGGTTCTGTGGCATTATATAGTGATTGAAAAGACAGTAAGATAGTCCAAAGTAGTGAGAACAACCACCCTACTTTCTATGGGACCTTGGGGAGGGTATTAAACCTTTCTATCATTTTTCCTCATCTACAAATTAGAGATAATAGGATACATGGAAAAGGAAGTTATAATGAAGTGATAGTCACAGCATACAGTCACATTCATAAATTACTATTATCAATACTGTTTTTATTCTTTTTGTTTTCAGTGGGACTGGGGTTTGAACTCAGTCTCTCCACAGCTTGAACCACACCTCCAGTCGTTGTTTTTATTCTTATTCACTGTGTTCAGGTGGGTTGTTGTTATAACTTACACTTGGTCTTCATCTTTCTCCTGTTTGAGTTCATCTTACCCTCACTCCCTCCCACCTTGCACTTGGGTAGAAGAATTTAAAAATCAGCCTCCTGTTATGTGTAACTGGCTTCAAGTGATGGCCAACAATGGGCCTCAGCTCCTTCCTTCCTGACTTATACTTCCACAGCCGCAGGCCTCCACCACAAGAATCTGAGCCTGTCCTACCCTGAACATTTTCTCTACTGTTTAACATGACTTTGATGCTTCACAGCTCAGAAATTGTATCATTCCCATTTCATAGCCCAAAAGATCCCCTCAAGAATAATGGTTATCATTGATTGAAGTGCTTAGTTATGTGTCAGATATATAATGTGTTATTCATTTTCTATGTTATATTTCTACTTACTTCTAAACAACCCTATGAGGAAGGCGTTGTTATCTATCTCCACTGACAAATAAGGAAACTGAGGCTCGGAACTGAGTCACTTGAAAAAGTAACACTGTCAGAAGAGGTAGATCTGGGACCTGAGTCAGCCTGAGTGCTCTGGAGCCTGTGCTTTGGGACGTTCCACCACCCTTCCTCCCCAGTCTGTGTTCAGTCCCTTAGTTACCTAGGTGAGAAAGCTGCCCACTGCAGCTCTCCCTGTTTACCACCTGTACAGCCAGGCTTTAATCTCACCCAGAATATTCTTTGGCTTTATGATTTATTTCTGCTCTCTTTGTCTGGGTTATATTTTCCACCTTTCCAGTTTTGTACATCCTGCTCATCTTTATGATCCTGCTCAGGTACCACACCTCTGACTCCAAAACAATTGTTCAAATTTATGTTATATTAACAATTTGGATAATAGTCACTTTAAAAATCTTTCTGTTGCATTGTATTATTAGCTTTTTGAAGGCAGAGCCCATGTAATTTTTTAATCTCTGTATCATCAAGCATAAACTATAGTACTTTGATGATGCTGGTAATGATAATTACTGTTATGAGTCTGACAATGGTGGCTGCTGTTTATTAAGTGCATCCTCTGTACCACATCCTATGCTAGCAGTGTTGTATACATTGTCTTGGTTTCATAGACTCCGAGACATACCTTCTCAGGATCTTTGTCTCCTTAACTATTATGTAAGAGTGATAACATTGGCGGGCTCTGATTAGAACGTTAGGAATCGGGACCAGGAGTCACAGTTAGGCCCATCGGGTTTTTTTAAATGCTCTTTCCATTAAAAATTTTACAAATAGCAGGTAATCAGGAAATATTAATGCATTCTATATTAATGCATTCTGTACACTGTTTTCCTTATTTCTGGTAAGTATTAGAAGGATAATTATCAGTAAAAGTAGACAATGAATTAATAAACTTAGAAGTGTTTAAGTCAGTCGTCCACAACATTTTGTAATTTCCTTTATCCTAAAATACAAATAATGAGTCCCATTTTTTAGCTTAAATTGCCATAAAATATGGCATATTTGCCATAATTGGCAAATATGTTATACACTGCATACTAAGAGATATGCTTAGAATTCTTTTTTTCAGAAGTTTTAAAAGACTGTGTCACAGTCTGATTAGGGAAGGAATTTGGTATAAGGCAGGTTAGTCTGGGACTCAGTCCAGATGATTTATGCTGAGAGCCTTATAATGATCTGGTTACAACACCACCTGTGCAATTCAAGGCTTCAGCGTGGATCTCCATGGCTTTGTGAGAGGGCGTCTTCTGTGTGGAAATGCTCAACAGTTCTTGATAGTAATTCATTGACACCATCATAAAATAAATTGTTTTCCTGAGGTGGTCCATTTGGGATTACAAGAGAAGATAGTCTAATACTGGATAGAAACTTGTGCAAAATGTTCTCTTCTCTAAATTCTTTTAATATCACAGCCCTGTAATAGCCAAGCATTCATACTTGGTTTTTGGTATGGTTTAAAATGTGATACTCTAACTACATACTGACATGCTAAACCCAGTGAAAAGGGGTAAGAAAGGCGTTTGGGTGACACTGCATTACCTACTGCAGATGTTTGTAGGCAAATTATATCATTTTCCTAAAGCCTATTTTCTTGTCTATAAAATATAATTTACAATATATGCTTTGCATAGTTACTGCCAACAAGTAATAGAACGTATAAAGCTACTAGAATTGTACCTGACACTACTCGTATGGTTAATAAACGTAGGCCTTACTACTTATTAAATTTTGTATAAGAAATTAGCTAAGTACGTACTGGTTAGTGGTTATTTTTATGTGCTTTAGGTAATTCATTTTAATAGACACCATTTAATAGATTACTGTTTACATTTATAGTCTGCAGTTTTACAGTTTGCTGTAATCTACTTAAAAACCTAAATTTTTCCGCTCAGGAGGAAAGGAATAAAGTCATCCAGCAAACAATTTAGGTCAGTGACCACATTTGATGACTAGAAAGACAAATGAAGACAAGAACTCTCTTTAACCTTGACGTTGCTCTGCAGAGAGGAGCTAGTGTCTCCAGAGGACCTGCTGGAGTGGCTGCGGCCTTTCTGCTCTGACGATGCCCGTCCTGTGCGGCCTCGTATCCATGTACTGCAGACCCTGGGCCAGTCCTTCCACCTGAGTGAGGAGGACAGCAAGCTCCTGGTGTTCTTTAGAACGGAAGCCATTCTCAAGGCCGCCTGGCCCCAGAGACAGGTAAGGAGTGTCTGACTGAATCTTTCCGCAAGCAGCAATATTAGAGGGTAGCTCTTGATTACCTTAAATTACTTTTAGGTGAATGATCAGCTTGGAAATGCAGGATTTCATCATTTCATAGAGTTCATTATCCCAGCTGCTTATCCATTGAGTACGTGCACTAAGGTTTATTTGTACTTTTCTATACATTCAAACCTGATTCCGCTCTGGGTCATTCCTCACTCATGGATGTGTGTGTCATTTTCCTCTCTGTAGGAGATCGTCAGAACTGTTCACAATATTAACTGCCACAGTGGTTAATACAGGATGAGTGCAGATCTGAATGGAAGTGCAGGATACAGTTTAGCTGACTCATTTCTTTCATGTCTGCCCATGTGCTGAAATGCCTACTGTTGAACCATACCCCCAACCCAAATTTATTTTTTGGTGGTGCTGGGGATTGAACTCAGAGCCTTGCACCTACTGGACAAGCGCTTTTCCACTTGAGCCATACACCCCAGTCCTTTTGCTTGTAGTTTGTTTTCCAGATGGGGTCCTGTGCTTTTGCCCAGGCATCCTCAGACCACAATCCACCTAGCTCTATCTCCCAAGTAGCTGGGATTATAGGTATGCATTACTATACCCAGCCCTTCTTTTTTAAAAGATGAATCAAATATTAAGACTGTCTTGGAACTCATCTCAAAGTATCTTCATAATCATTCTTCTACCTTCATATTTCCTTCTATAGGATAGTTAAATAGGTTATTTACTGTTCAAAGAGAGAAATTGTGATTAAACAAAACATGGATTTGTCACAAATTCTCTAGTCTTGCCAGCGTATTGAAATGGATTGTAACTGAATACTTTCTCTGAAGCAGTGTAACCTTACCAGCTTTACCACCTGTGCACTTTGCCTTGAGTTATATCAGGAGAGCACCTGCACCCTCTCTGAAGAGCAGTCCTATAACACAGATGCAATAGGCAGTGCAGTGTATCCAGGTATGTGAAGAAGCTAGAGGTGTATCTGTTCTCAGCAGGCATGGTGGTCCATGTGGAATCATGAGGTGGGCCTTAAATCAGGCCACATTGTATTTGCCGCATGCAGCTTCCCGTTCTGACTCTTGTCCTGAATCAAATGAACGTCACTGCAGTTCTGTCCCTTCCTGATACAACCCCCACTTGTTCGGTTTCATCTTCCTTGATTGCTAGAACCTGCAGGATGATGATGCCGGTTTCACCTCATGTAATGTCAGAGCCATGGGCTGAAGAGGTTATGAAACAGTGGAAGTGGGGAAAGAGAACAGCACTCTTATCTGTTGTGCTGAAACACCAGAATACACCCCTTTATATTTGGGCCCAAACTCTTCATAAGTAATGTGTGCATCACCACTACTTCTTGTGTTAAGCTTTTCTTAGTGTTCCAGTTGCCCAGGTGATAACTCTTTCATAATTTCAATGATTCCTGAATATGCGTGAGATTTTCATTGCTTTATAGCATAACTTTTTCCCAAAACATGCAGAAGGCTCCTGAGCCTCAGTAATAACTGTCTTATAAGTTTCTTTTTTTGTGCACTTTTCTAAAGCGACTTGACTTTATTGCTGTGAGTGTACACTATTTTCTCTCATTTGTAACTGTATTTCACTAATATTTCCTCTGTGGGGGAGCAAATGCTCAGGCCCTGTGGAAAATATCTCTGCCCAGAAGTCTTAGAATGACTGGTCAAGTTGCCTCATGCCCCCTCACTCTTTTTACTTTCTCTCCCTCTATTTTCCCTTATGTGGGAGTGAGTTCCTGTTCTTTGCATTTAATGATTGAGTTTTCTTAAATATTTGGTAGTAGAAATAGGAAAACTCCCATACTGGCTTCATTATGCTATCCATCTGTTGTCCTCTCCAAGAAATGCTTCAGTGAACACTTCTCCCTCCTTTGGAAATGTAATGTTCTCTGTCTGCCTGGCACTGCTGACTCAACATCTCTTTGGGAGGACAAGTGAATTTGATGAAGAATTTCATCTATAATTGAAATAACTTCTTGTTCCTGTGAAATGAATGCAGAGAAGTGTGTTTTCAGAATGGAAACACCAACAACTTCCAAAATGCTAAAGGGCTATGCCCAAACTTCACTTACCCCTTAAATTACTGTTTAAAAAAAATCATGTTGCCTTTCTCCGTAACAGTTGAAACCTCAGACGCTGGTGGGCAATGCATATGTAAGTCCCTGCCAACCCTCCACCACTAGGCGTTTGAGCTGGGGAAGAATCTTACATTGATGAACTTGTTGGTGAATAAAGTGGAACCTTGACTTAACATTCCATTTTGGATGATGGTCTCCTCTCTTCGTTTGCCTTTTGTACACACACATTAACCGTATTCTCCATCTCTGTACCTCAACTACCTAGAGGATCCCACTGTGTTGCCTATGTGGGCTCTCATTTTCTCTACTTTCTCCCTATCCCTTTCACCTCAGGGGTAATATTGGTAATACTGAGGATAGAGACAGGTTCTTACAGACTGAAGATAAGAACAGATAATGGTATTGCAATGTTCAATTACCAAAAAAGGTGGGACTGCTACCTTCACTGTGGCTGGTAATCCTCTTAGGCAGACTTTGCATACATCAAAGAGGGGCTTAATATTTAATTATCCTCCCAATGCCCAAAGTAGTGGCCCCACAAATCACTGTGCTGCTGGGCAAGCAGCCAGCTCCTGCAAAATTAAACACTGTCTATGTGAGTGAGCCTTCCACCTCACTCCTTTTCAGAGAAGCAGCAATTTCTACTGTTCTAATGGTTAGTTAACAGAATTAGAAATTCACAGACCCTCGTTTTCTAGCAGTTTGAGGGTTTTTTATTTTCATTTTAGAAATGTGCCCCGGGATGGCATGGGGGAAAGAAGTGGGCATGTGGTGGAAGGGGGAGGAGGTGGAATGTGTTGTATCAATCCCTTTGGATTAATACAATTAATCTGTAGTTTATCTGAGTTTTTCAGCTTTTGTAATTTTCTAGCTAAGTGGTGCATCAAAAATGTGAGTCAAAATACTGATGTTTCCTTTAAAAACTTCCAAGCCTCAGCACATCAACTCTTCCCCCATTTTTATATAAAAGAGAACATGGGCCTTAGAGTTTTGCCTTTTAATTTTTCAGTATGTCTGATTTGTGGATGTAAGTGATCACCAGGAAGAATTAATTTAAGTCAAGATTTAACCTTATTACAAAGTCATGTATTTTGCCTACTTTGAAACTTTCGAGGCCATATTAACCCTTCTGGCCAGAGACCAGCTCAATTTCATTTGCCAAAATGTTAACAAAATATGTGCTGGTCTGTCAGACGAAACTCAAAAGCATAACAGAATCTCAGCACACAAAGCCATACTTAATTCCTTAAAAGTAACTTACTGCTGCCTGCCTTAAATGTCCTCAAGCTAACATTCATGGGTACGAGTTGATGTTAGGAATATGAGTGCACACACAGAGACAGCCGATCTCTAAGCGCCATGGATCACAGAGTCCTGGAGCTAGGGGAGGCCCTCAAAAGCTTCCCAGCTCAGTAGTCATCTTCTATCGAAAAAGACATGGATATCCAGAAATGACAAGTTACTTCCTCAGATTTTTGCTTAAATCTCATCTTTTCTAAAATGACTACACAGCCTAAAGTAACCACTCAGACACAATCTATTTTATTGGTCTTAATTCTCTATAAATCACTTCCTACTACCTGCTAGCTTCTTCCTACTTATATTTCCCTTTATTATATGATGTCTTTCTCCCATTATAATATAAACTCCACAGAAACAGAAATCTCACAGACACTCAATAAATACTTGTTGAATTAATGAGTATTAAATCTTTAAAAACTTGTCCAAGGTTACCTCAAGGTGGCAAGGCTAGGACTCCTGACTTTCAATGTGATGTTCTTCCATTAAAGATGAAAAGGATTTTGCGAATCATTGCAAGATGATTTGCTTGGAATAATGGAAAGGTGTCCTTATGGCATGGCCTGGTGCTTTTAGATTGGTACTGTTTTATTAGTTTCCAAACTTTGCTGACAGTGATTTCTGACCAACCTATTGCTTCTCACATAGCAGGAAACAAGTCACAGACATGTTTGTCCAGTTTTGAGCAAGAGACTTGAAATGTTAGAAAAGATGATTAAAGTTGAGAGAGTACCCATGTGCTGGGTTCTGCAAATATTCAGAGGTGTTGAAAGTCTCTTTTCATGAACAAAAGGTTCTTTTCTTTAAAGATAGTCCCTCTGTCTACTGTCATAATTGGGGCAGGAGAGGGGCCTGAGGGATGTGTACTATGTGTGTGCACATTAAAACTGTACTGCAGAGTGGGACCATCTTCTCTGTTTTGAGTGAGGTCACATGACTGTGTAAGGTGACACAGCTTGTGAGTGATAGAGCTGCAGCTCCAACCCAGTTCTGCCCAACCCCAAAGCCTATGTTTTTGACCTTATGCTGCACTTCTTCCCATTTGCCAGGAAAATGTACTTAGCTCTAGTATCTGTGTGTGTGGCATTGGACTACACAGGGCATGCTCCACGGCCTTTTCCCCTTCTGTTGTAATTTTATATGGATTGAATTTGATTAGACAGGAGAAATCAAGAGTTTGAAAGAGAGCAGAAAACATTTCTTCATCCTTTAGCATTTGACAGTATCTCAATAGATAGCACTATATATGTTAACTATAGCTTAGTTAAAATGTTGAAAATGCTGTGCCTAATAGCTGTTGTTTTAGCAGAGCACTTGTGAATTACTCATCAAATATCCTTCAGGCATACATTCCATGTCATGAACTGTGAGTCCAGAAAAATATAGACAGGGCATTTACTGGTAAAGTGTATGAGCACTGAAGTCAAGTCACGCAGACCTGAATTCAAACCCCAGCGTCACCACTCATTAGCTGGGAGAAGTTAGTGAATCTCTGACAACCTCAGTTTCCTCATTTATAAAATGGAAATAATACGCTATTGTTAGGATTAAATAGGATAATACCAGTAGGGCCCTAATTTCAGTCCAG